TAAGGTAGGTACCGCACCGCACCGCACATGGGTTACTAGAGGAGCATGGGATTTAGCACTCCAGGTTTACAGGTGCCTAGATTCGCAGCTTCCCTGACCTGTAGAGTTGTGACTGACTGGATCAAGACAACGGATTCACCATGTTAAGGTACTAATACAGAAGGATTCAACTCGTTCCACAGGCCCGTCATACATGCATTTCATGGCACATGTAAGGTTACAGATTCAGGAACTGCTGTAATACACGTATGACAATGGGGGAAAGAACGTGCGGCATTGTGCTATTACGGAGAGGTGAGCATGGGGAGGACAGCATGTGCATGCACCTGCACAAACAGAACGACGTACAGCCGCAGAGAGAGATCCCGTTAAGAAATGTGATGTGCACAAATGAGTCGGGGTTGAGAAGGGATGTACGAGAGCAATTGCAAATTGCTTAGTGTCCGTTGGAGGAGGAATGAGCCAGCAGCTGGAATGAGCATGTTGGAACGACCAGGTTGAATTGAAACAAGTGAGTTGAAACGACTGAGCAGACGGCGTTACGAGAGCTCAAACTCTTCGGTTGCGATGCGAGGTGCAACAAGCGAGTTGAAACGATCGAGGTGGAATGCGTGGTTTGAAACAAGCACACGCAGACCAGACCAGAGGTACCAGTGAGTTTGCAATCACAATTGACATTAAGAAATGTAGGGTTGGCACAGCACAGCAGGCAGTGCAGGCAGTGCAGGCAGAGAAAGACCATGGTCCACCCACCCGCATTCCCCAAAACCCGTTCGGTACAATGCTGATGCCACACGCACTCTCCCACTGCTGCTCTGCAGCAATTTTCTTACCGGCATCAAAACTGGCATCGAAAAAAAGCTCACACCAAATTCCTGTGCATGGGGGATGCAGAAGCAAGGTGCAGTGCTGTGACCCACCTCAGGTTTCTGGGTGATGGTGTGGCGAATCTGTATCGTCTGCCTCTGCCGTGCCTTCCAGCTGTGGTAGTGACTTGGCAGCAGCAGATGCAGGTGGTAACGATGGTGACGATGAGGATAAGGATGTTGGTTCGGATGGACCGTCCAACGATGCGAGGGGATTAGTGTGGATGATGTGCTTAACGATGAAGACTGTAAGGGGTACGGCGACCAGTAGGCCCCACACGCCCATGGCGTGCTCTGCTACCAGCAGCACTGCAAGTGTGAGGATGGGGTGGAGCTTCAGATGGGCTGATGGGACGGAGGGGGGGAGAGAAATGAGGAGGGACAGGGGGAGGCAGAGGGAGGAGGGGAACATGGAGAAGCGGAGGGAGGAGAGGAGAGAAGCAGGGTGGGCAGTGAACGATTGTGCTATGGGGTGACGAGGGGTGGAGGAGAGGAGAGAGACATGCAGGGAGACATACAGACAAGCATGGATGAGCAAAAACAGTTGTTGACAAAACTTGAGACAGTGCGGTAAATGAAAGGCAACATCAGGAGCAGTGGGACTATGGGAATATGGGAGTATGGGAATATGGGAATATGAGAGTATGGGAGCATGGGAGCAGAGGAAGAGGGAAGATGGAAGAAGAGTCACCCACCGGAGTAGATGGCAGGGTTGAGGATGTATGCTTCGAGTGCATGCATGAGCACTACCATCAGCACCACCAGTACCACCTTCACTACCCCGCCCCTGCTCACAAGCAATCAGGCAGGCAAAGAACAGACACACACATGCATGGATGAATGCATGCATACAGGCATGCACACAAGGATACACGGACACCCACATGCATTCATGCACGCACGCACGCATAAACAAACTCGTATGCAGTCAGGAGAGGGTAAACAGCCGTGCGCATACATAGACACGCGCACATGCATCATCCCAGAGGAGTGAAAACCCACAATCCATTCGAAGCAAGGGTCATAGAAGCAGGTTGCCTTAGGAGTGCAGTTTGTGCAGTTGTAAGATGCCTAGTAATATTCTCTGTCTACCCCAGACTCAACCAGACTCAACCAGACTCAACCAGACTCAACCAGACTCAACTGACTCACTCGGAGAGAGCGACGAGGCCCATGGGGACGGTGGAGATGACGACCCCGGCGACGGGAACAAAGGAGAAGACAAAGACGACCGCAGAGAGCACGAGGATGCCGTGGATGTTGAGCAGCATCATGCCCAGGAAGGTGAGCGCCGTGTTCACCACCGCTATCAGACTCTGCGCCTCGAGAGCCCGGCAGAAGATGCGCCCAAAGGTTAGCACCTGGCGTTGGGGGGGAAGGGGGGAGGAGGGGGGTGAGGGGGGGGGAGGGGGGGAGAGGAAAGGGAGAGAGGAGGCAGGGAGGAAGGAAATGTTTTTAGTCGACTCAAAAGTCGCCTCCAGCGCACAGCAGAAGATGCACCCAAAGGTCTGCACCTGGGTTGGGGGGGTGGGGAGGGTAGGAGGGGGGAAGAGCTGCAGGGGTGAATTTTGAGTCGAAACAAACACCTTCAGCACCTGGCAGAAGATGAGGCCGAAGGTGAGCACCTGGAGGGGAGGTGGGTGAGAGCGAGAGAAAAACGGGGGAGGGCGGAGGGGGGACTTTGAGTCGAGTCGAAATTCGCCTTCACCACTCAACAAAAAAAGCGCCCAGACGTTAGACAATGGAGGAGAGAGGGTTCAGGGTGTGCAGGAGTTTGAGGGGTTGGGGGCCGGAGAGTTGGGACCTCGGGGGTTTCGGGTTTAGAGTGCGAGGAAGGAAAGGCGTCGTATGCCGAGGGGGGCCACAGGGAAGAGCGAGGAAGGGAGGGAAGGAGGGAGGGAGGGAGGGAGGGAGGGAGGGAGGGAGGGAGGGAGGGAGGGAGGGAGGGAGGGAGGGAGGGAGGGAGGGAGGGAGGGAGGGAGGGAGGGAGGGAGGGAGGGAGGGAGGGAGGGAGGGAGGGAGGGAAGCAGCGAGGATGTACAACGGGAGCTAGTTCGTCGTAGATGCGGGGGACGAGGGGTGGAGCGAGGGAGGAGCGGAGCGGGCACACCGCAGGCGGGCGCATGAGAAAGGGCACAAGGGCGGGGGTGAGGCAGGGAGCGCGGAAGGCAGAGAAGTAGCGAGTGCTTACAACGGGAGCGAGCTCGTCGCAGATAGATAGGGGCGAAGCGGGTAGGCGGGGAGGGAGGGAGGGAGGGAGGGAGGGAGGGAGGGAGGGAGGGAGGGAGGGAGGGAGGGAGGGAGGGAGGGAGGGAGGGAGGGAGGGAGGAAGGGAGGGGGCAATGCGGCACGGAAGGAGAAAGACTGGGAGCGAGGGAGCGAGGACGTACCACGGGAGCGAGCTCGTCATAGATGGGGGCGAAGCGGGACGTCTGCAGCGACTGCATGCCGCGGGCGAGGGAGGGCAGGTCCCACACGATCATGGCCGACAGGATAAGGCTCACGAGCGACTGTGCATGGGGAAGTGGGTGGGGATTGGGGACAGGGAAGGGGAGACAAGGGTTCAGATCCCACACGTGGGCGAGGGAGGGCGGGTCACACTGTCCCACACGATCATGGCCGTCAGGATAAGACTCACGAGCGACAGCTCTAAGGAGGGCGTGGGGTGAGGGGTTGGGGACAGGGAAGGGGGGACAAGGGTTCCGGTCCCACATGTGGGCGAGGGAGGGCAGGTCCCATGATCATGGCCGTCAGAATGAGACTCACGAGCGACTGCTCTAAGGAGGGCGTGGGGTGAGGGGTTGGGGACAGGGAAGGGGGGACAAGGGTTCCGGTCCCACATGTGGGCGAGGGAGGGCAGGTCCCATGATCATGGCCGTCAGAATGAGACTCACGAGCGACTGCTCTAAGGAGGGCGTGGGGTGAGGGGTTGGGGACAGGGAAGGGGGGACAAGGGTTCCGGTCCCACATGTGGGCGAGGGAGGGCAGGTCCCATGATCATGGCCGTCAGAATGAGACTCACGAGCGACTGCTCTAAGGAGGGCGTGGGGTGAGGGGTTGGGGATGAAGGAAGGCAAAGGGGGGGCAGCGGGGGAGGGTGTGGTGTGGGTGGAGGGAGGTTCGGTGGTGAGGGAGGGTGGGGGAGGGTGGTGGGATTCGTGGCCTTCACGGGGCGGAAACTGCATGCTACGAGCGAGGGAGGGCAGGTCCCCACACGATCATGGCCGAGAGGATAAGGCTCACGAGCGACTGTGCATGAAGCGGTGGGGGGGAGGGGGAAAACCAAGGGGGCCCGGGGGGGAGCCGGAGTGTGGCCAACGGATAAATAGGGGGAAACCAAGTCACGTTTGAGAGCTCTCTAAAGTGGCTCACATTTAGAGAGTACTAAAGTGTATGTGGACAGAATGAGTAGACAGCAGGTATGTGATATCACATACATGGCACCCAGACAACAGATAAGGCACCTGGAAAGTGGATAGCAGAGTAGGCATCAAGAGGGCAGAGAGGAGCACCTTGAGCAGGAAGCGGCCAGTGGCAGCAAAGGCGGTGGCGAGCAGAGAGAGCATGCTGCCAGCATACTTCTTGAACACCTGCCTCAGCGCCGCTGACGGGTGCGCTGCCATCGCCACGCCCCCCGCACCCTGACAGGTGGTAGTGGTGGGGGTGGTGGTGGGGGTGGGGGTGGTGGTGGTGGTGGTGGTGGGGGTGGTGGTGGGGGTGGAGTGCAGGGAACCATGCAGTGCAGTGGAAGGAAACGGTTGGGTGTGCAGAAAACCATGCAGTGCAGTGGAAGGAAACGGTTGGGTGTGCAGAAAACCATGCAGTGCAGTGGAAGGAAACGGTTGGGTGTGCAGAAAACCATGCAGTGCAGTGGAAGGAAACGGTTGGGTGTGCAGAAAACCATGCAGTGCAGTGGAAGGAAACGGTTGGGTGTGCAGAAAACCATGCAGTGCAGTGGAAGGAAACGGTTGGGTGTGCAGAAAACCATGCAGTGCAGTGGAAGGAAACGGTTGGGTGTGCAGAAAACCATGCAGTGCAGTGGAAGGAAACGGTTGGGTGTGCAGAAAACCATGCAGTGCAGTGGAAGGAAACGGTTGGGTGTGCAGAAAACCATGCAGTGCAGTGGAAGGAAAACGGTTGGGTGTGCAGAAAACCATGCAGTGCAGTGGAAGGAAACGGTTGGGTGTGCAGAAAACCATGCAGTGCAGTGGAAGGAAACGGTTGGGTGTGCAGAAAACCATGCAGTGCAGTGGAAGGAAACGGTTGGGTGTGCAGAAAACCATGCAGTGCAGTGGAAGGAAACGGTTGGGTGTGCAGAAAACCATGCAGTGCAGTGGAAGGAAACGGTTGGGTGTGCAGAAAACCATGCAGTGCAGTGGAAGGAAACGGTTGGGTGTGCAGAAAACCATGCAGTGCAGTGGAAGGAAACGGTTGGGTGTGCAGAAAACCATGCAGTGCAGTGGAAGGAAACGGTTGGGTGTGCAGAAAACCATGCAGTGCAGTGGAAGGAAACGGTTGGGTGTGCAGAAAACCATGCAGTGCAGTGGAAGGAAACGGTTGGGTGTGCAGAAAACCATGCAGTGCAGTGGAAGGAAACGGTTGGGTGTGCAGAAAACCATGCAGTGCAGTGGAAGGAAACGGTTGGGTGTGCAGAAAACCATGCAGTGCAGTGGAAGGAAACGGTTGGGTGTGCAGAAAACCATGCAGTGCAGTGGAAGGAAAACGGTTGGGTGTGCAGAAAACCATGCAGTGCAGTGGAAGGAAACGGTTGGGTGTGCAGAAAACCATGCAGTGCAGTGGAAGGAAACGGTTGGGTGTGCAGAAAACCATGCAGTGCAGTGGAAGGAAACGGTTGGGTGTGCAGAAAACCATGCAGTGCAGTGGAAGGAAACGGTTGGGTGTGCAGAAAACCATGCAGTGCAGTGGAAGGAAACGGTTGGGTGTGCAGAAAACCATGCAGTGCAGTGGAAGGAAACGGTTGGGTGTGCAGAAAACCATGCAGTGCAGTGGAAGGAAACGGTTGGGTGTGCAGAAAACCATGCAGTGCAGTGGAAGGAAACGGTTGGGTGTGCAGAAAACCATGCAGTGCAGTGGAAGGAAACGGTTGGGTGTGCAGAAAACCATGCAGTGCAGTGGAAGGAAACGGTTGGGTGTGCAGAAAACCATGCAGTGCAGTGGAAGGAAACGGTTGGGTGTGCAGAAAACCATGCAGTGCAGTGGAAGGAAACGGTTGGGTGTGCAGAAAACCATGCAGTGCAGTGGAAGGAAACGGTTGGGTGTGCAGAAAACCATGCAGTGCAGTGGAAGGAAACGGTTGGGTGTGCAGAAAACCATGCAGTGCAGTGGAAGGAAACGGTTGGGTGTGCAGAAAACCATGCAGTGCAGTGGAAGGAAACGGTTGGGTGTGCAGAAAACCATGCAGTGCAGTGGAAGGAAACGGTTGGGTGTGCAGAAAACCATGCAGTGCAGTGGAAGGAAACGGTTGGGTGTGCAGAAAACCATGCAGTGCAGTGGAAGGAAACGGTTGGGTGTGCAGAAAACCATGCAGTGCAGTGGAAGGAAACGGTTGGGTGTGCAGAAAACCATGCAGTGCAGTGGAAGGAAACGGTTGGGTGTGCAGAAAACCATGCAGTGCAGTGGAAGGAAACGGTTGGGTGTGCAGAAAACCATGCAGTGCAGTGGAAGGAAACGGTTGGGTGTGCAGAAAACCATGCAGTGCAGTGGAAGGAAACGGTTGGGTGTGCAGAAAACCATGCAGTGCAGTGGAAGGAAACGGTTGGGTGTGCAGAAAACCATGCAGTGCAGTGGAAGGAAACGGTTGGGTGTGCAGAAAACCATGCAGTGCAGTGGAAGGAAACGGTTGGGTGTGCAGAAAACCATGCAGTGCAGTGGAAGGAAACGGTTGGGTGTGCAGAAAACCATGCAGTGCAGTGGAAGGAAACGGTTGGGTGTGCAGAAAACCATGCAGTGCAGTGGAAGGAAACGGTTGGGTGTGCAGAAAACCATGCAGTGCAGTGGAAGGAAACGGTTGGGTGTGCAGAAAACCATGCAGTGCAGTGGAAGGAAACGGTTGGGTGTGCAGAAAACCATGCAGTGCAGTGGAAGGAAACGGTTGGGTGTGCAGAAAACCATGCAGTGCAGTGGAAGGAAACGGTTGGGTGTGCAGAAAACCATGCAGTGCAGTGGAAGGAAACGGTTGGGTGTGCAGAAAACCATGCAGTGCAGTGGAAGGAAACGGTTGGGTGTGCAGAAAACCATGCAGTGCAGTGGAAGGAAACGGTTGGGTGTGCAGAAAACCATGCAGTGCAGTGGAAGGAAACGGTTGGGTGTGCAGAAAACCATGCAGTGCAGTGGAAGGAAACGGTTGGGTGTGCAGAAAACCATGCAGTGCAGTGGAAGGAAACGGTTGGGTGTGCAGAAAACCATGCAGTGCAGTGGAAGGAAACGGTTGGGTGTGCAGAAAACCATGCAGTGCAGTGGAAGGAAACGGTTGGGTGTGCAGAAAACCATGCAGTGCAGTGGAAGGAAACGGTTGGGTGTGCAGAAAACCATGCAGTGCAGTGGAAGGAAACGGTTGGGTGTGCAGAAAACCATGCAGTGCAGTGGAAGGAAACGGTTGGGTGTGCAGAAAACCATGCAGTGCAGTGGAAGGAAACGGTTGGGTGTGCAGAAAACCATGCAGTGCAGTGGAAGGAAACGGTTGGGTGTGCAGAAAACCATGCAGTGCAGTGGAAGGAAACGGTTGGGTGTGCAGAAAACCATGCAGTGCAGTGGAAGGAAACGGTTGGGTGTGCAGAAAACCATGCAGTGCAGTGGAAGGAAACGGTTGGGTGTGCAGAAAACCATGCAGTGCAGTGGAAGGAAACGGTTGGGTGTGCAGAAAACCATGCAGTGCAGTGGAAGGAAACGGTTGGGTGTGCAGAAAACCATGCAGTGCAGTGGAAGGAAACGGTTGGGTGTGCAGAAAACCATGCAGTGCAGTGGAAGGAAACGGTTGGGTGTGCAGAAAACCATGCAGTGCAGTGGAAGGAAACGGTTGGGTGTGCAGAAAACCATGCAGTGCAGTGGAAGGAAACGGTTGGGTGTGCAGAAAACCATGCAGTGCAGTGGAAGGAAACGGTTGGGTGTGCAGAAAACCATGCAGTGCAGTGGAAGGAAACGGTTGGGTGTGCAGAAAACCATGCAGTGCAGTGGAAGGAAACGGTTGGGTGTGCAGAAAACCATGCAGTGCAGTGGAAGGAAACGGTTGGGTGTGCAGAAAACCATGCAGTGCAGTGGAAGGAAACGGTTGGGTGTGCAGAAAACCATGCAGTGCAGTGGAAGGAAACGGTTGGGTGTGCAGAAAACCATGCAGTGCAGTGGAAGGAAACGGTTGGGTGTGCAGAAAACCATGCAGTGCAGTGGAAGGAAACGGTTGGGTGTGCAGAAAACCATGCAGTGCAGTGGAAGGAAACGGTTGGGTGTGCAGAAAACCATGCAGTGCAGTGGAAGGAAACGGTTGGGTGTGCAGAAAACCATGCAGTGCAGTGGAAGGAAACGGTTGGGTGTGCAGAAAACCATGCAGTGCAGTGGAAGGAAACGGTTGGGTGTGCAGAAAACCATGCAGTGCAGTGGAAGGAAACGGTTGGGTGTGCAGAAAACCATGCAGTGCAGTGGAAGGAAACGGTTGGGTGTGCAGAAAACCATGCAGTGCAGTGGAAGGAAACGGTTGGGTGTGCAGAAAACCATGCAGTGCAGTGGAAGGAAACGGTTGGGTGTGCAGAAAACCATGCAGTGCAGTGGAAGGAAACGGTTGGGTGTGCAGAAAACCATGCAGTGCAGTGGAAGGAAACGGTTGGGTGTGCAGAAAACCATGCAGTGCAGTGGAAGGAAACGGTTGGGTGTGCAGAAAACCATGCAGTGCAGTGGAAGGAAACGGTTGGGTGTGCAGAAAACCATGCAGTGCAGTGGAAGGAAACGGTTGGGTGTGCAGAAAACCATGCAGTGCAGTGGAAGGAAACGGTTGGGTGTGCAGAAAACCATGCAGTGCAGTGGAAGGAAACGGTTGGGTGTGCAGAAAACCATGCAGTGCAGTGGAAGGAAACGGTTGGGTGTGCAGAAAACCATGCAGTGCAGTGGAAGGAAACGGTTGGGTGTGCAGAAAACCATGCAGTGCAGTGGAAGGAAACGGTTGGGTGTGCAGAAAACCATGCAGTGCAGTGGAAGGAAACGGTTGGGTGTGCAGAAAACCATGCAGTGCAGTGGAAGGAAACGGTTGGGTGTGCAGAAAACCATGCAGTGCAGTGGAAGGAAACGGTTGGGTGTGCAGAAAACCATGCAGTGCAGTGGAAGGAAACGGTTGGGTGTGCAGAAAACCATGCAGTGCAGTGGAAGGAAACGGTTGGGTGTGCAGAAAACCATGCAGTGCAGTGGAAGGAAACGGTTGGGTGTGCAGAAAACCATGCAGTGCAGTGGAAGGAAACGGTTGGGTGTGCAGAAAACCATGCAGTGCAGTGGAAGGAAACGGTTGGGTGTGCAGAAAACCATGCAGTGCAGTGGAAGGAAACGGTTGGGTGTGCAGAAAACCATGCAGTGCAGTGGAAGGAAACGGTTGGGTGTGCAGAAAACCATGCAGTGCAGTGGAAGGAAACGGTTGGGTGTGCAGAAAACCATGCAGTGCAGTGGAAGGAAACGGTTGGGTGTGCAGAAAAACCATGCAGTGCAGTGGAAGGAAACGGTTGGGTGTGCAGAAAACCATGCAGTGCAGTGGAAGGAAACGGTTGGGTGTGCAGAAAACCATGCAGTGCAGTGGAAGGAAACGGTTGGGTGTGCAGAAAACCATGCAGTGCAGTGGAAGGAAACGGTTGGGTGTGCAGAAAACCATGCAGTGCAGTGGAAGGAAACGGTTGGGTGTGCAGAAAACCATGCAGTGCAGTGGAAGGAAACGGTTGGGTGTGCAGAAAACCATGCAGTGCAGTGGAAGGAAACGGTTGGGTGTGCAGAAAACCATGCAGTGCAGTGGAAGGAAACGGTTGGGTGTGCAGAAAACCATGCAGTGCAGTGGAAGGAAACGGTTGGGTGTGCAGAAAACCATGCAGTGCAGTGGAAGGAAACGGTTGGGTGTGCAGAAAACCATGCAGTGCAGTGGAAGGAAACGGTTGGGTGTGCAGAAAACCATGCAGTGCAGTGGAAGGAAACGGTTGGGTGTGCAGAAAACCATGCAGTGCAGTGGAAGGAAACGGTTGGGTGTGCAGAAAACCATGCAGTGCAGTGGAAGGAAACGGTTGGGTGTGCAGAAAACCATGCAGTGCAGTGGAAGGAAACGGTTGGGTGTGCAGAAAACCATGCAGTGCAGTGGAAGGAAACGGTTGGGTGTGCAGAAAACCATGCAGTGCAGTGGAAGGAAACGGTTGGGTGTGCAGAAAACCATGCAGTGCAGTGGAAGGAAACGGTTGGGTGTGCAGAAAACCATGCAGTGCAGTGGAAGGAAACGGTTGGGTGTGCAGAAAACCATGCAGTGCAGTGGAAGGAAACGGTTGGGTGTGCAGAAAACCATGCAGTGCAGTGGAAGGAAACGGTTGGGTGTGCAGAAAACCATGCAGTGCAGTGGAAGGAAACGGTTGGGTGTGCAGAAAACCATGCAGTGCAGTGGAAGGAAACGGTTGGGTGTGCAGAAAACCATGCAGTGCAGTGGAAGGAAACGGTTGGGTGTGCAGAAAACCATGCAGTGCAGTGGAAGGAAACGGTTGGGTGTGCAGAAAACCATGCAGTGCAGTGGAAGGAAACGGTTGGGTGTGCAGAAAACCATGCAGTGCAGTGGAAGGAAACGGTTGGGTGTGCAGAAAACCATGCAGTGCAGTGGAAGGAAACGGTTGGGTGTGCAGAAAACCATGCAGTGCAGTGGAGTTGAGGGGAGTGGAATCATGGTGCCCTCACGCACCCCCTTCCTTCCAACCCTTTCCCTTCATTGAACGATGTGGGGTATTGACCAAGTTTTGGGCTTGAAAAGGGTTTGAGTTGGGGGTGAAGGGAGTGCGATTTGAAAAAAACAGCATGGTGGGGAGGGATAGTACGAGCAGAATGGATCAGGGCGTGAATGAGCAGGGCGGCAGGGGGCAGGGCGGGCGGCATGAGGCAGGGCGGCATAGGGCAGGGCAGCATAGGGCAGGGCGGCATAGGGCAGGGTGGGCGGCATGGGGCAGGGCGTGTGTAGGTGTCATACCATGATGCCCCGGGTTGTTGGCGGGGACATAATGAGCAGCATATAGCGCTCTAGCTGCACCATACTCGACTCTTTCTGTTCACATTCTCACAGAATTTTACCTCAGGGCTGTTGTAGGTGACATACCATGATGCCTTGGGTGGTTGGCGGGGACATCATGAGCAGCATGTAGCGCTCCAACTGCCCACCACACACACGGGGACGAGGGAGCGTGGTGGGAGGGGGAGGCGGGTGGTTTGTGGGAGGGGGAAAGGGGGGAGAATGGGTTTGAAAACAAGAGGGAGTAGAAGGACCGTATGAGAGTAAATCAGAGCGAGCATCTTTAAAAGCAGCAGAAAAAGCGTCAAGGGGATCGTGCATAACAGCAATGATGGATGTGAATATCCATCACTCACCACCTCATCCCTCTCTCCCTCCCTCCCTCCCTCCCTCCCTCCCTCCCTCCCTCCCTCCCTCCCTCCCTCCCTCCCTCCCTCCCTCCCTCCCTCCCTCCCTCCCTCCCTCCCTCCCTCCCTCGCTCCCTCCCTCGCTCCCTTCCTCCCTCCCTCCCTCCCTCCCTCCTCCCTCCCTCCCTCCCTCCCTCCCTCCTCCCTCCCTCCCTCCCTCCCTCCCTCCCTCCCTCCCTCCCTCCCTCCCTCCCTCACTCCCTCCCTCCCTCCCCCCCTCCCTCCCTTCCTCCCTTCTTCCCTCCCTCCCCTCTCTCCCGCTCCCCCTTTCCCTCACCTGCTCCGTGAATGTGTCTCCGAACTCTGCTCGCATGCGCGTGGCTATCCATGAGTATGCATCCTCGCCCTGGATAAACACATGCACGCACATATGTGCACATGCATATGGAGACACACACATGTGCACACACACACACACACACACGCAGGCTCACACACACGCAGGCTCACACGCACGCGCGCGCATGCACGCACACACAGGCACACACACGCCGGCAGATGCAGACAAGAGCAGATGCGAGGAGACAGGAGCATTTGTTAGCAATGGGAGCAAAAAGTGGAAGCAGAACTAAGGCGGGCTCGATCCAGAAAATAGAAGGGAAGACGAGTGGGAGTGAGTGGCAAGGGGGACAGCCGGGAGATGCAGGAGGCTTGCACAGAACGTTTTTAGAGAAATAAGTGTAACCATGCAGGGCTGTGTGCGCCTAAAATTACTGATGAGCTTAACATTCCATGGATATTTAATGGCCTGAAAATCGTTGCGATGAAGCAACCATTTATCCTTCAACTGATTTTGACTATGATTTTTCTTCACATATATGTGTGGATTATGAAGAGTTTGTTTCCTCTCTCATCATGAAATGTCAAGTGCGGCATAGAAATGAGAGTTGGAATTGGAACGGGGAGAATGTGGAGCATGAAGTTGCATGGGTCAGGTCAAGCAGCAGACGAAAAAAAAAAAACCCAAATCAGGCGCGACAACACCAAATCCCAAATCCCAAACCCCGAACCCCAACCCCTGCTCGACCAAACCCTCCGATCCATCCCATCCACCTCATAGCACCACAACGCACACCCACAGCGCAGCACCACACCACACTCCATCCCACCGCACTGCACCACACCGCATTAAACCACACCCACCTGGATGTTCAGAATTAGCTGTGTGGCGGTGTTGTATAGCGGGGGCAGGTAGGCAAAGCCGAGGGCGAGGAGGGCAGCGAGGGCAAAGGCATAGAGCAGCGCCACTAGCAGGCGCCGCTTGGCTGGCAGCACCCTCTGCGCTCCCTCCACTGCTGCATTCGCCACCACGCTGAGCACGTATGTGCCCATCATTATCTGGTGTGATGGGAAGAATGGATGGACCGGGAGGGCGAGGAGGGGAGAGGAGGGGAGAGGAGGGGAGAGGAGGGGAGAGGAGGGGAGAGGAGGGGAGAGGAGGGGAGAGGAGGGGAGAGGAGGGGAGAGGAGGGGAGAGGAGGGGAGAGGAGGGGAGAGGAGGGGAGAGGAGGGGAGAGGAGGGGAGAGGAGGGGAGAGGAGGGGAGAGGAGGGGAGAGGAGGGGAGAGGAGGGGAGAGGAGGGGGGAGGGGAGAGGAGGGGAGAGGAGGGGAGAGGAGGGGAGAGGAGGGGAGAGGAGGGGAGAGGAGGGGAGAGGAGAAGAGAGGAGGGGAGAGGAGGGGAGAGGAGGGGAGAGGAAGGGAGAGAAGGGGGGGGGGAGAAAGGGGAATGGAGGGGAGGGGAGAGTAGGGTAAGGTAGGAGAGGGGAGGGGGGGAGGGCGGAGAAAGCAAAGGCAGGTGAAGAACGACAGAACACTGCTGAGAGGGAGAGAGTGAGAAAGAGAGAGCGGGGAGAGGGGGAGGGAAGGAGGGGCGCTGATGCTAGCTTGAACGTTGAGAGCAATAAGAAGTTACGCACGCCGCCACACCTTGCTACGGATGATATCAGGGTTCATAAAGGGTTCAAAGGAGTTGTTCGTGTTGCCTGCCGTTTCCCAGCCTCTCCCATCACATCCACCCTCGACCATATGCTTCCCCTCAACCTCGTCTGTCGTAAGTGTTTTCTTATTAATCCTTGGAAAAAAAAAGCCTACTTCGCACAGGTGATTATTTACCAGCCTTCACCCTCCTCATTCTCTTTGTAGGCGATGTTTTGTTTGAGAAATTTCAAGAAGCGCCCACATTGAGTGGGCGGCTGCATACCAGCCCAGCCCATACCCTCCTCATGCCCGCCAACAATCCCGCCCCACCCGCACGTTCCTTCACATGCAACCCGAAACTGGAAATATTCCAGTATGAAACATTCATAACACACGCAACCCCCCACGTCCCCAGCCAAGCCCATCAGCAAACAATGAATCAGCTCAGGTCCCCAAAACCAACCAAGCAGCTAATTTTGAAAGAGACCCGGAGAAAGAGCCCTATTCCATCGCAAAACCCTTATCCCCTGACTTGACTCTTGGCTTAAATCCACCCATCACGTCTACAAACATGACATGATATACACCTCCCCCTTCTCCTCCCTCCCTCCTCCCACTTCCTCCTGCCCTCGCCCCCTCCCTGCCCCCTTCCCCACCCCCGACGTACCCCCAGGAACTCTCGTAACTGGATGACAAGCCCGGCCACTAAAGCCCACACGAGGAACCTCCGCAGCGGCAGCTGCTGCAGCAGCCCCACCACTCCCCCATCCGCCGCTCCGCCTCTCGCCTCCGCGCCCTCCCCGCTCATCTCTCCCCCGCCTCCTCTCCACGCCCACGACACGCCTATCCCATTCCCCCCCACAGCTGCTGCTGCTGCTCCGCCTTTCAAGCGCCCGCCTGCCCCTTCCCCTCCCCCGCCTCCGCCCCCGCCTCCCCCGTCCGCGGAGATTAAGGCTGTAGCTGACGCGGCGGTAGCAGGTAATCCTCTCCGCCGATCCCCCACGTCCCCGCTTCCCCTTCTTGCCCCACGCGCTGCTTCTCTACTGTGACGGGACCAGCTTCCGCTGCCGCTTACACTGCCATGCAGGCTGCTGCTTAGACTGCCGCTTAAGCTACTGCCGTTTAAACTGCCGGTTGAGCTGCTGTTTGAGCTGGCACTCAATTGACCGCTTAGACTGACGGCTCCGCTGGCGCTGCGTGGGGTTGAGATGCTAGCGGCGGAGGCGCGACCGGAGGGTGCGGGGCGCGGGTGCAGAAGCGGGGAAGTGAAGGACGCGCAGGTGGGTGGAAAGGAGGATGAGGAGGACGAGGAAGATGAGTAAGATGAGTAGGTTGGGTAGGGTGAGTAAGGCGAGTAGAGTGGGAGAGACGAGGAGGGAGAGGAGATGAAGCAGGGAGTTCGAGCCGAAGCGCATGCGACGGCGGGAGAGGAGGAGGAGGCAGTGGGCGTGGCAAGGGGGGAAGCAGCAGGGAGAGGCGGGAAGATACACGCGAGCATGGCGGGATCTGCTGTGTGCGCGCGTGACGCGGAGAGAGAGGCGGAGTGCTGCAATGGGAGAGAGAATTGGGAGGGTTAGGGAAAGGAAAAAGGGCGTGAGGCGAGAGACACGTGAGCGAGATCTGCTGTGTGCGCGCGTAACGCGGAGAGAGAGAAGCGGAGTTCTGCTAGAGAGGGGAGGGTTTGGAGGGATGGAAACGGGAAATGGGCGAGTGATAAGGGAGCTCTACGGAATGTAAAACGGTGATGAGATTTCAGTCTTGATAGGACGCAATGGAGAAGGAAAAAACTTGAGTTACGTGGATGTGAGTACGGACGGAGCGCGCCATAATTCGCAAAACCACGGGATTGACGAGGCTACGAGTCAGGGTGGCAAGAAGGTGAAGAACGACTGTGAGACACGGAGATGCGCACACGGATACGCGTCTACAGCGCTGGATCAGTGTCGCGAATTGTACGTATTACACTCGTTGCCCCAGAAATAGAACGGAAATATACGCGAATAGCGGTTAAAACAATCAATCGTACGGATCCCACTGTATCAGAACAAGAATCGTGTGAAGATCATGGGTTCGAGTGGTTCTGGTCCAGTGGTTTTGATGATAAACCCCTGCTCGCTCGTGCATCTACCCTCTAACAGTGTTAATTCGATTTCCCAACCTACCAATCCCAGCGTGCAAGATCCCGTGCCGTGAGAACTCCCCGTCGGAACCAGTCGCCCGATCATCGCTGCCACTGAATCGCGATCGGTTAAGATGATCGGATTAATCAACAGACTAGATGCGCGGTCCGATTGCGAACCGTCAACGCGCAGCGACGTGCCGGATGCCCCGATCCTTAATAGCGGAAGCAATTATGGCGCATTACAAGCGCTGGGAAGGGAATCTGAGGGGCAATGCTGCAGGATTTGTTTCTCTGATGTTCTGTGTAGTCTTCCCTCGGATCCCCCTGAGTAGCTGGCGGCGAGACGATTGTGGAGCAGATAACTTGTTGCTTCTGATCAGAAAAGCGAATGGATGAGATGAATGCGACTGGCGTTCGCGACGACCGTCAGTCCCCACGGAATCAGCGAAATACCACCCACGAACTCAGCGAAGTACTGTAATTACCAGTTTCCAAGAACAAGTGCAGTTCTCCACCTCAGCATTCATCCACTTTGGGTTAGGTTCGCTCTTCCTTGAGTGTGCCGAGTAGGTTGGTTGGCTTGAAGCTGGGTTCCGTGACGTGGCAGAGCTGACGGAAAGGTGACGTTGACGATGACGGGGCAAGCGTCATCCAGTAGCGGCGTGGAGAACCACAACAGCCACCGTCAAATTTCAGAACCCAGTACGTGTCTGCCGTTCTCTCCGCGAAAGCGATCGGTTGGCGGTTTGTGTGAACCCCAACGTGGTTGTTATGAATGAACTTGCAGAGTGCGCAGTACAGTCAAACGAATAACGAGAATGTTGAACTACAGAATCACTGAATGACGATACAAGGAAAGTGACGGGAATTTATAAGGGGAATCCTAGCCAGGCCCCAAATTTCAAGGGTAAAATACCCTTTTTGCCCTGATGGTAGGCCACTTTTTCCCAGTTACCCTTGCAAAAACAGAGTATCGATTTTTTTACCCTAGAGCAAACAGGCTAAGTTTTGATTAACACTGATAACAATTTATGTTACCCTGCCGATATCAGGGTGCACTGTTTACTTCACTGATACCGAATCCTATGTAGCGAGGGTTTTCCTTGCGAAGCCGCAAGAAATTTTGTGCACCAGCCAGATCTGAACTCGCGACCTTCGTAATTCAAGCCTTACATCTGACTAGCTGAGATAATCTGTTGAGTTATAGCATTGCAAATCTTAATTGTCGAATAGAAACATTTTACCCTTTTATAATCAGTGTACTGGTTTTTTTAGGCTTTTTTGGCAGGGTACGAAAGATTTTACCCTAACAGTCAGGGTACTGGGGGCCTGGAACCCTGATTTGAAAGAGTGGACCTAAACCTATTTTGGGCTCTGATCCTAGCTAAGCGAAGAGGTCGGGCGAAGGATGGCTCGGTGATGTTGCGATTGGAGCGGGGCCGACTCGGGAGTGGTTCGGTGTGACGAAATAGGCGAAACAGGTTCGTCGCGTGACCCTCGGGATGTACTCGCAAAGTGCGAGTACAGTCGGGCCTTGACGCGTCACAAAAGTTCGCATCGTTTTTTTTTTTAATGCAAGTTTCACTATAATAGTGCATACTGAGAAACTTAGAACGAGAAATAAATTAACTAAGGAATGAAAGTGATACAAATATGAAACCCTAGAATTGTGTACCCCTTAGTATCTAACCCGCTACAGCCTACACAGGCTAGATCATATAAGTTTGACACACCCCCATAGGCAAAGTGGGGGAGAACAAGGGGTCACAAGACCAGTCAAGCAAAGCAAGGCAAAGCAAGCTCAGGGTGGATCACAACGTCACCACACATTCTGAGCACAAGTTCAAGGCCACAAGGCCAGTTCACATGCATGAGTACACACATATACATAACGCTAAACAAGCAAGAACAGGTATATATATATACGTAACAGTACAAGCAAGGTCAAGAAGTGAGCAAGTGAGGCAAGGTAGGTACAAGACCTAACAGAGTACAGAAGCGATGATGGTCACAAGGCGCAAGTGCCTTGGTGAAGATATCAGCAGTGTTGGCCTCAGAGGCCACGTAAGCAAGGCGCAGCTGACCGCGCTGCTGCAGCTCACAAGCAAGGAAGTAGCGAAGAGCGATGTGCTTCGTTCTGTGCTCCAGTCTGTGCTCCCGACACAAGGCCAGCATAGCCTTGTTGTCTACGTACAAAACTGGAGGAGAACGAGGCGGCTCTCCTAGGTCAGTCAGCAGGTAGGTGAGCCAGCGTAGCTCCTGTGCAGCCATGGCCCCTGCGTAGATCTCAGCCTCAAAACTGGAGCCGAGAACAGAAGACGAGCGGGTAGACCGCCACGAAACAGAGCCGGAACCAAGGCTGAAGGTGTAACCCTGTGACGACTGCTGCGTAGCCTGGTCGTCAGCCCAAGAAGCGTCTGCGTGACCAGTGAGGACCACTGGACTCCGCCCTCCAAGCACAAGCCCCATGCCCAACGTACTGCACAAGTAGCGCAACACCCTCTTCGCTGCAGCCATGTGCTCTGGTCTGTGTCTCCCAGGAGCAACATAGCGTGCCAGAATGCTAAGAGGGTATGCAAGGTCAGGTCGAGTGCAGGTCATCAGGTACATGAGGCAGCCAACAAGCTCTGGGTACGGGCCACTCGACTCTACGGACTCATCCGAAGGCAGAGCTGAGAGCGAGTGGCGAGTAGACAGAGGAGTGGCCTGAGGCGAGGAGTACGTGAAGCCGAAGCGCTGAAGGACCTGCTGCACCATGTGTGACTGAGTCAGGGTAATGGTGCGCTGTGCTCTGTCCCGGGTGATCTGCAAGCCAAGGTAGCTGCGCAGTTCACCCAGGTCTGTGCACGTGTGTCTCTTCTGCAGCTCGGACTTCACGTGGGCGAGTCCAGCAGTGTCAGCTGTGGCAAAGACCAAGTCGTCGACGTACACGAGGATGTAGAACGGCGGCAAAGAAGTGTCGGTGCGCAGAAACAGCGACGGGTCGGCAGTAGAAGGAGCAAACCCAAGAGCCGCAAGTGTAGTCCTCAGTGTGTCGTGCCACTCACGAGGTGCCTGGCGGAGACCGTAGACTGGCCGCCGGAGGCTCCACTGGGTACCAGGAGGAAAAGACCCAGTGAAGCCAGGTGGGCGGCGCAGCCAGATCTCCTCGTGCAGGCTGCCCTGCAAGAAAGCAGTGCTGACGTCAAGAGAGTGAAGCTCATAGTCACGGTGAGCGGCTATGTGCAGCAGTACCCGAAGAGTGGTCATCTTCGGGGTGGGAGAGAAGGTCTGAAAGTAGTCAACTCCCTGCCGCTGACTGAAGCCACGAGCCACGTAGCGCGCCTTGAAGACAGGCGGAGAACCTGGCGGCCGCTTCACCCTGAAAATCCACATGCCACTGACGATGTTCGCCCCAGGAGGGGGAACCTCGTCGACGTAGGTGCCTGTGGACTTCCAGGAAGCCATCTCTGCATCCATGGCTGCCTGCCACTGAGAGGAGTAGGGACCCTCTATCGCCTCCGCGTAAGAGCGCGGAGTCGGGATGTCTGGTGCATCCGGGTCTCCCTCAGGGGCAAGCAGCATGGACACGAGATGAGGTGAAGCAGCAGCAAAGCACTGGAACTCCTCCTGCCTGTCCTCAAGGACGTCCGTGCCAAGGGCACACTCACCCCCGACGGACGGAGGACAGACAGACTCAGACTCAGCGACAAGACTAGCAGCGTAGTCTAGGCGACAGCGAGCAGCGAAGTCGACAAGCTCAGAAACTAAGGCAGACGCAGCAGCGGACTCAAAGGAAGGGTCAGTGACGACAGTAGCAAGGAGACGCGTGACAGTAGGACTGGCAGCACGAAGGGAGTCCGACTCCGGGTCAGCAAGAACAGGAAGAGAGGACTCAGGAGGAGAAGGCAAAGGGGCACGCAGCGGAGCAGTGGAGGGACGCAGAGACATCCGGTGCGTGCCGGGGACAGGGGGAGGACGCGGACGCGAACCACGACTACTAGTGCGAGCAGCACGGACAGGCGACGCAGGACGAGACGCAGGCTCACGACGCTCAGCAAGACCTCCAGTAGGACCAGTGTAGGGAGAAGGAGCGGGCAGAGGAGAGGTAGGCTGTAACTGTGACTCGGACTGGACAGGCGGTGGACACTCTAAGGGAGGAGCCGGACTAGCAGAGGGCGGAAGACCAAGAACCTGCTCAAGGAGCGGAACGAAGTACGGCCGCGGCCGCTCAGCACCACCAGCACCAGAAGGGACAGCACCAGCACCCCGAACGCCAGCACCAGCGCCAGCAGCACCCCCAGCTCCAGCAGCGCCAACTCCAGTACCCTCAGAGGCACCAGCACCAGAGGCACCCTCAGCGCCAACACCCCCAGCAGCTCCAGCTCCAGCCGGACCACCAGAAGACGCAGCGGGTCCAGCTCCAACACCCTCAGTAGCACCGACGCCCGCAACACCACCAGCTCCAGTACGAGAAGCACCCGCAGGCCCAGCAGCTCCAGTACCCCCAGTACGAGCACCTCCGGGACCCGCGGCACCAGCACCCTCAGCAGCAGCAGAACCTCCAGCACCCGCAGCACCTCCAGCTCCAGCAGCTCGCCTCCAGCGCCGGGCAATCCACTCACGCAGCTCCTGTGGAGAGAGTAGCTCCCGCCGGGACGAAGCACCCGAAGAACCTCCAGGCCCAGCACCGCCAGACGCCACACGAGCAGGTCCAGTACCCTCAGACTCCGCACCCCCGGACGCAGCACCCCCAGGCTCAGCACCCCTAGACGCAGCACCCCCAGGCGTAGCACCCCCAGGCTCAGCACCCCCAGGTGCAGCACCCCCAGAGTCAGCACCCCCAGGCTCAGCACCCCCAGAGTCAGCACCCCCAGACCCAGCACCCGCAGGCTCAGCACCCCTAGAAGCACCAGAGTCAACAGCTACCTCGACAGGGTCGACTGCGTCTACCTGAGACACACCTGAGGGGGCAGGACCCTGAGGGGGGAGGGGGTCTACCGGAGGGGGACCTGGCGTAAGGAAGAGCGGCGGGGGGGGGAGGGACGCAGTGCGGTAGGGGAAGAGACGGTAGTAGGGAACCGACTCGTCAAACGTGACGTCCTGGGAGGACAGAACACGGCG